GCTCCCAGCTAAGTGCTGAGTCTGCTTGAGATTCTCTCTCTCTCTCCTTCTGCCCCTCTCCCCACTCTCTCTCTCTCAAATAAATAAATAAATAAATAAATAAATAAATAAATAAATAAAATATTTTAAAAATGACTCTTGGGTTGATAACATTTGTATCTCAGAATTTACAAACTAAATTATCATCACATCAGATGCCTCACTAAACAGTTTTCGTGCAAAATGGAAAGGCACAATCTGTTGTTCAAAATACTCTAGGCTTAATTTTTATTTTCAGTCATCATGAGAATACTGTAGGCAAATCCAAGAGTAATTTGCCTTATAGCTTATATTTTGTGTGCATTTTTGTCTACATTTACATTAATGCATAAAATATTGAAATATTAATTGCAAATATCAAAACAGAAAGTGAATTAAATGTATTGCTTTCATCTAACTACTATGTCCTTAAAAACATGTTGTATCTTAAAGAAGGTACATCTTAAAGAAAACACATTTTTATCTATCCACACACTTCATTAACTACAAAGCTGCTTTAAATATATTGTAAAGAACAATATCTGACTGTATTATACAGGCTACATTACAAGATTACTGGTGTGGAACTCTATCTACATTGCTCTGGATATAGAATTTGAGATGAGCTCCTTAAAGTAAACCTGTTAGAAATCATCATTAAAACAAAACGAATGTATTTTTGCTCACCTATTAGAAAAAGGAGGCATTAAGACTGCATTAATAAGAAAGGAAGCAGATGAAAAAAGAATATGCAAGGATTAACAACACAAAGTAAAATCAATATATAAACAAAATGTTATATCAACTAAAGATTCTTGATTTCAGAAGAAAACATCCATAGCCAAACACCTATTTTTTCACTGTTCTGTAAATGAAACCTAAACTATCCTTAAAATTGGAGCTTTGCTTTAGTCTCAGTGTCTTGAACCAGGCCATTGGGAAAAATTGGCTTGAGGAACTTGAACTCATTGGTCCCAGATCCTCCCGTCAGACACACCTCGTACTGGTAGCTGTGCGACAGGGTCCCCGCGCCGCTGACGTCCAGCAGGTGGCCCGCGAAGGGGCCCTCGGGCAGCGAGCAGCCGCCCCCCGCCGCGGCCCGGCTCCTCCTGCCCAGCCGCACCGCCACGAACCCCAGCACCGCCACCAGCAAGAGCGACGACACCGACGCCAAGGCCACCACCAGGTGGACGGTGAGCGGGTCGGCCCGGGCCTCGGCCGCCGCCGCGGCCGGGAGCGGCAGGTAGGGCTGCGAGAAGCCGTCCACCAGCAGCACGTGCAGCGTGACGCTGGCCGACAGCGGCGGCTCGCCGTTGTCCTTGACCAGCACCAGCAGCCTGTGCCGGACGGCGTCGCGCGCGCTCAGCGGCCTGGCCGTGCGCACCTCGCCGTTGTGCGCCCACACGCCGAACAGCCCGGGCTCCGTGGCCCTGAGCAGCTGGTACGCCAGCCAGGCGTTCTGGCCCGAGTCGCCGTCCACCGCCACCACCTTGGTCACCAGGTAGCCCGCCTCGGCCGCCCTGGGCACCAGCTCGGGGCAGCGCGCCGAGCCGTTCTGCGGCGGGTACAGCACGAAGGGCGCGTTGTCGTTGGCGTCCCCCACCAGCACGCGCACCAGCGCCTGGCTGCTGAGCGCCGGCGAGCCGCGGTCGGCCGCGCCCACGCGGAACTCGAACGCGCGCAGCGCCTCGAAGTCCAGGGAGCTGAGCGCGAACAGCTGCCCGGTGGCCGCGTTGAGGGACACCAGCGAGGCCAGGGGCAGCCGCGGGTCGTGCGGCGGCAGCAGCGAGTAGGTGACCTGCGCGTTGGCGCCCGCGTCTCTGTCCGCGGCGCTCACGCGGCCGATGTGCAGGCCGGGGCTGTTGTTCTCGCGCACCCGCAGGGTGTAGGCGGTGTGGCTGAAGGCCGGCGCGTTGTCGTTCACGTCGGACACCGTCACCGTCATGTGGTGCTGGGTTTGCAGCCTGGGGGTGCCCAGGTCAGTGACGGTGATGGTGATGTTGTACTCGGCTCTTGTCTCTCGGTCCAGAGCTGTGTTTGTCACGAGGGTGTAAAAATTCTCTATTGATGGTTTGAGGATGAAGGGGAGATTGTTCTCGATGGAACACATAATTCTCCCATTGTCTCCAGAGTCTAGATCAGAAACACTGAAAACAGCCACCACAGTCTCCGGCGAGTTCTCAGGGATAGGGCTGGTAATTGAAGACAAGGTCAGTTCTGGTGGATTGTCGTTCACATCAACCACCTGAACTATCACTGTGGTTTCTCCTGAAAGGCCTCCGCCATCCTTGGCTTCTATGTCCAGTTCATAAGTATTCATAACCTCGTAATTCAAATATTTGACTAGCTGGATATCACCAGTAATTGGATTTAGCTGAAAAGTTTTGCGAATTTCTTCAGAAGCGTGAAAAAATGCGTATGATACTGTCCCAAAATTTCCTGTATCTAAGTCAGAAGCTGAGACCGTGACAATAACAGAGTTAATGGGGCTGTTCTCTAGAATTTGAACCTCATAGAGTGACTGTGTAAATTCTGGGGCGTTGTCGTTTATGTCTAAGACCAGGATGTGGATCTGGGCGATCCCCGACCGGGGTGGAGAGCCGCCATCCAGCGCGGTGAGGGTCAAAATGAGCTCTGGCTGCTCCTCACGGTCCAGTGCTTTGCCCAGCACTAGTTGTGGGTATTTTCTTCCGTCCCTACGACTGCGTGTGAGAACGTGGAAATGGGCATTAGGGGCGATCGTGTAGTTTTGGAGACTGTTTCTTCCCACATCCAAGTCCTCAGCATTTTCCAAAGGAATTATGGTTCCTGGTGGCGTGTTTTCTAAGAGTTTCAGCTGTATTTCATTTTCAAAGAATACAGGAGAATGGTCGTTTACATCTATGACCTGAAGCTCATTTGTAATAAACTGCAAAGGGGTTTGCAGTAATATCTGAAAATGCAGTATACAGGGCTCCGTGGGGCCGCATAGCTCTTCCCGGTCCAATTTCTCATGCAGGAGCAAATCGCCGGTCTGATGGTTGAGCTGAAAATGCTGTTTGTTCCCTTTAGACACAACTTGGGCCCCCCTCACAGCCAGTTCCCCTACCCCTAGCCCTAGATCCTTTGCCAGGTTGGCTATTAAATAGCCCCTCTCTGTTTCCTCAACCACAGAGTAGCGTCTTGACTCAGACCCAGCCAGAGACCCACCCAGAAAAACAAAGAGAAATAGGACTTGCCTTTGTCTAAGAAAGCGCTCCCCTCTGGCCTCCATTGTGCTTTCGGCCACGTTCCTTCCGGAAATATTGCCAAACTAAGCCTCCGGCAGCGCTAGCAAACACAGTCTTTTGCCTTCCAACCTTTGAGGAAGGTCTAGCGAATAATCCTTCCCAGGGCTCAGATTTGCTTGCTTGGAAAATCTGCCCAGGCTCACAATTCCTAGTTTACCGAACTGGATCCGTGCCTTACAGAGTGCGCACAATGCCGGTGGTTTAATTCACCTTCTTAGTCAACAGCGCCACCATGCGTTCGCTGGTAGCTTAAGAATCTTAGAGAAGGTGTTCTGTTGAGGCCGGGTGGGTGTTTCGATTTTTTAATCGCTTATTCCCCTTATCAAACCCATTTGACGCTACTGGAGGAGCTTCTTGTGTTAAATGAGTTAAACAAACACAACGTAGGGAAATGAAATGTGCTTTTAAAAAAACAACCACTGTCTTTGGTAAGAGTCCTCATTTACATGTTTTTGCTGATTTATATGATTTTGCTGGTAGAGCTACTCTTCCTGCCCATCTGCAATTATTACACATAAACTTTAAAGGATTTTGCTCTAAATGATGATATGCTTCATAGCCTACTTGCATTTTTCTCTTATTTTCCAGATTTTGCAAAATGTGCATGAATTGCGTTTATTACCAGGAAAAAATGCTATGAGAAGGTGACCTCATACAAGGTGATGAAAAATTATAATAGGTCATGTCAGGGGGTATATTCAGAGGCCACAAATGCCCAATTCTTTTCAATCTTCACAATCATTCAAGGAACACAGAGATTACTCCTCTTCTTATTTCATAGTAATTTTACAATTACTGGTTTCATCTATATAATAACTGTAATAACTGTTTCATCTGTATTTTATCCGTGGAAACACGTATTTGTTGAGTTTGTAGAAGTTAGGTATTATAGTGGTAACAAGACAAATCATGTCTATATATCTTATACAGTTTACCACCTAATGGGATGAACAGACTTTAAATATATGTTCAAACAAACTGTGAAAAGTGCTATATAGGAAATGTACTGAGTGCACTGAAAGTATGCTATAGGAGGACCTGACTCAATGGGTGGCGGGTGAAAAAGTTTCATCAAAGTTGTGCCACTTAATCTGGAAGATGAAGGATAAGATGTTTGTCTTACAGGCTAAGTCTTACAGACTAAGACTGTAAAATGGGAAGAATACATATGAGAAACTGATATGTAAAGGCCTGCAACAGTAAAGTATAGCTATTCTAGATAATAAAAGGACAGTGTACCCAAAACTTCGTGTCTCAAGAGTAAGTGGGAAGAGAAGGATGGAGAGATAAACTGTGGGCAAATAACAGATGCTTGGATTTTATTCTGAGAATAAAAGGAAGATATTGCAAGGTTTTAGGCAGAGAAATGAAACAATTCAAATATCAAGTGTTCAATCTAGCATCTTCACAATTACCAGGAATGTAACATGAAGGATCATTTATTAGGATTACTCTTAATATTAGTAACACTAAAAATAACAGCAATTATACTTCTATATCTTTATATTATCTCATTTTATCGTAATTTCAAGCTAGAGAAATAGCTGTTACTAGCATTTTGGGGGAATAGAAATGATGTGACTTATCCAAGATCCTATTAAGTATTAGCAGTGCTCTACACTGTGAATCTCAAAAGGACACCTTTAAAATTCATATTATAATTTTAATAGTAAAACTCATACAAATAAACATAAAATGACATAAGAACTTAAATATAGGCTGAAGAACACTAAGAACTAAAACTGTGTCTTAATGTATGGATGTGAAATTGAACTGCAAGAAATAAAGTTGGATGAATCATTTAGGGAATTATAGAAGGAAATTTAAATTATAAAATAAAAAATACAATTTCCCCATATATATTCCTTAAGCTAGAACGCAGGAGAGGAGACTCAAATTAATCAGGAGGAGAGAAAGGAAAAATATATTGAAGGAAAGAGACACCAGGGACTGATAACTGCATAATCTTTCAGTAATAGTGATCAGTTGAATTAATAACCAAAAATTATATATGTAATTCCTTATACATTAGAGAGCATTTAATTCCAGCAAAATTTTGTTCTATGAGTATTTTAGTGTCTTTAAATATCAAAATATCACAGGGTGAAATAAAGACACTTCTTTCTTTCAATCATTTAGCCAAAACTTTTATTAACCTATAATCCTCCAATTACTGTGCTAATCATACAATAAATGGGGAGCTGTTGGGAAACATATTCCAGAACCTAAAAAGAAAAAAAGTTATGAAAAGCCTAGGAAACAGAAAAGGGAAAAATAGAAGTAGTGAAGAAAAAAAAAATGGCCACACTAAGATAAATCTTTCCCCGTAGGCTTATTTCCAAAATGGAATCATAAATGCTCCAAAAAAATTTTTTTTAAAGATTTTATTTATTTATTTGACAGAGAGAGAGATAGAGACAGCAGGAACACAAGCAGAGGGAGTGGGAGAGGGAGAAGCAGGCCTCCCGCTGAGCAGGGAGCCCGATGCAGGGTTCAATCCCAGGACCCTGGGATCATGACCTGAGCCGAAGGCAGACGCTTAACGACTGAGCCACCCAGGCGCCCCAATGGTCCAGAATTTTTGAAAAATGCAATGCCAAACTACATTTGAAGTTTCTAAAATTTGCTCAAGGACAAAGACATAGATTTATTTCCTCATATCTTCTGGATTTTAAGGATGTTAATAGATGACTTGCAATTGCTAAAATGGGTAACTTTTGAAATGAGCAGAGGTTTAAAGAAAAAAATATTAATAGAAAGCATGAAGAATTACATGGCTTTGAAAACAACTGGACACATGCTATTTATTTAACTACATTTGAGAATATTAGTGGTTGACTGAGCACTTTTGATGTGAATGGTTTGTAGAATCCAGCAGTCAAGGTTGTCACAATCTCTAAGGAATCATAATCTTCATTATGGACACTTTAAGGAAGTACATATTTAGAAAAATGTGAGAGGTTGCTTTGTTATTAATGAATATGCATATATTAATGGTTTTAGTCAATATGAGTTAACAGAATAAAAGTTATACTAGTCTAAGAGAATATACAAACACAAATATTCTGGGTTGGAGAAAGAATAAGCTTATGTAGCGATTAAAACATTTAAAAAATGTTTTAAATTTTAAGTTCTGCAAAATTACCTACGAGCTGTGGAAGGTGAGTTTGGAAAAAGGTGCTGTAACTTAAAAATTAAAGACTTCTGAAAATACAAAATTTACTTTCACACTTTAAGTTGAATGAAGTTACAGTGAGACTAATCAACAAAAAGAAAGCAAAGGAAATTTGCATTCCTTATACCACAAATGAACACATTTAGAAACACCAGTAACATGCACTAAATTAGAATAGAACCCCAATAAGCAAGGCAGTAAAAAAGGACTTTCAACAAATTAACTGAGACTAGGCTCAGTAGACCCTTATTAATTAATACTTAATTGAATTCAAAGTTATCCCTGAAACTGGGGTTTGCTTCACTAATCCTCTCTTCACCCAGACCAAGGAAACTGGGGAGAACTGGCTTGAGGAACTTGAACTCATTGGTTCCTGAGTCTCCCGTCAGACACACCTGGTACTGGTAGCTGTGCGACAGGGTCCCCGCGCCGCTGACGTCCAGCAGGTGGCCCGCGAAGGGGCCCTCGGGCAGCGAGCAGCCGCCCCCCGCCGCGGCCCGGCTCCTCCTGCCCAGCCGCACCGCCACGAACCCCAGCACCGCCACCAGCAAGAGCGACGACACCGACGCCAAGGCCACCACCAGGTGGACGGTGAGCGGGTCGGCCCGGGCCTCGGCCGCCGCCGCGGCCGGGAGCGGCAGGTAGGGCTGCGAGAAGCCGTCCACCAGCAGCACGTGCAGCGTGACGCTGGCCGACAGCGGCGGCTCGCCGTTGTCCTTGACCAGCACCAGCAGCCTGTGCCGGACGGCGTCGCGCGCGCTCAGCGGCCTGGCCGTGCGCACCTCGCCGTTGTGCGCCCACACGCCGAACAGCCCGGGCTCCGTGGCCCTGAGCAGCTGGTACGCCAGCCAGGCGTTCTGGCCCGAGTCGCCGTCCACCGCCACCACCTTGGTCACCAGGTAGCCCGCCTCGGCCGCCCTGGGCACCAGCTCGGGGCAGCGCGCCGAGCCGTTCTGCGGCGGGTACAGCACGAAGGGCGCGTTGTCGTTGGCGTCCCCCACCAGCACGCGCACCAGCGCCTGGCTGCTGAGCGCCGGCGAGCCGCGGTCGGCCGCGCCCACGCGGAACTCGAACGCGCGCAGCGCCTCGAAGTCCAGGGAGCTGAGCGCGAACAGCTGCCCGGTGGCCGCGTTGAGGGACACCAGCGAGGCCAGGGGCAGCCGCGGGTCGTGCGGCGGCAGCAGCGAGTAGGTGACCTGCGCGTTGGCGCCCGCGTCTCTGTCCGCGGCGCTCACGCGGCCGATGTGCAGGCCGGGGCTGTTGTTCTCGCGCACCCGCAGGGTGTAGGCGGTGTGGCTGAAGGCCGGCGCGTTGTCGTTCACGTCGGACACCGTCACCGTCATGTGGTGCTGGGTTTGCAGCCTGGGGGTGCCCAGGTCAGTGACGGTGATGGTGATGTTGTACTCGGCTCTTGTCTCTCGGTCCAGAGCTGTGTTTGTCACGAGAGTGTAAAAATTCTCAACGGAAGGTTTAAGGAAGAAAGGAAGATCATCTTGAATGGAACAAACCATTCTTCCATTGTCTCCCGAGTCAGGATCTGAAACCCTGAATACAGCAATTATGGTCTCCTGCAAGTTTTCTGGGATATGATCGATAAATGTTGACATAGTCAGTTCCGGAGGGTTGTCATTCAAATCCATCACTTGGACAAACACCACGCAGCTTCCAGAAAGTCCTCCACCGTCTGTCGCCTGAATATTTAATGTATAAGTCTGAGTGGATTCAAAATCCAGCTTCTGTGTTAAAAAGAGTTCTCCTGACTTTGCATTTATTTGAAAAGTTTTGCGAATCTCTTCAGAGGCTTGGGAAAATACATAAGATATTTCTCCATAGGTTCCAATGTCCAAATCGCTAGCAGAGACTATGGCAACCAGGAATCCAATGGGGCTGTTTTCCAGAACTTGCACCTCGTAAAACTGCTTTGCAAACTCGGGGGCGTTATCATTGATGTCTAAGACTTCAATGTGAACCAGAGCAGTGCCAGTCCTGGGTGGAGTCCCGCCATCCAGCGCTGTGAGAGTTAACCTGATCTCAGCCTGTTGCTCTCGATCCAGTGCTTTGTCCAACACCAGCTGTGGTAATACGCCGTCGGGACTGTCTTGTAATTTAAGATGGAAATGGGAATTGGGGCTGACTGTGTAACTTTGGAGACTGTTGCTTCCTACATCTAAGTCCTGGGCACGTTCTATTAGGAAAGTAGTTCCGGGAGTGATACTTTCTGAAATTTTCAAAATTATTTCCTTGTCTAGGAACACCGGGGAATGATCATTTATATCTCTAATCCGTAGCTCAGCCTGAAAAAACTGCAGGGGATTTTCCAATAACACCTGGAAAGGTAGCACGCATGGCTCGGCAAGGCCGCACAGCTCCTCCCGATCCAGTTTCTCATTTAACAACAAGTCCCCTGTCTGCCTATCAAAATGCAAACGAGTTTTTTTCCCTTTGGAAATGACCCGAGCCCCCCGTGCAGCTAGCTCATTTACCTCCAGCCCCAGGTCTTTTAACAAATTGGCCACAAAGGAGCCACTCTCCATTTCCTCAGCCACTGAGTAGCGCCTAGGCTCGGAAGCAGCCTGAGCTATGCCCAGCAAAACAAAGAATATCAAGACTTGCCTTTGTTTCAGAAAGCGTTCTTTTCCCTCTCCAGCCTCCATCGCCTTCCGGTCTACCAGCAAACCTAACCCAGTTTCGGCTCGCGTTGTGGCGGACTCTTCACCTAGTATCTCGAAGGTACTGGGATAAGTGGAGACGCCTAGGGCCCCGATTTCCTGGGGCAAACACCTTAGAAAGCCTCCCCTTCCTGCTTGTTTCTTTAGCAGAGCATCTGGCTTAAGGAGCGCCGGCTGGTAGCTTTCTTCGTTCTACTTTTAATGCTGCAGCGCCACCCCGCGTCCTTTCCGAGCGTTTATTTTATCTAAAACATTAACATCCTACTCCTTTCTTTCAGACAGATGGCAATCTAAATGGAATATTTTTATGTAGTGTCTCAACGTCTTATCTGCATTTCCAAAGACTTTTTCATTGCATCCATAATGACCATGGCAAGCATTGACAAATTTCCATTCCAGTTTCCTCACCCATCGAAGGGGTTCTTTTTAAATTGGAAAAACATCAACTTCAGAAACTGGAAGGTAACTTCAGTCCCAGGATGAAAGAAGGCTTTGAGTAGGCAGTTCCCAGTTTTTATTTAGAGGATGGGCATGTGTGCGTCTGGGTGGTGGTTAGGGTACCATCCCCACACTCAAGAGAAACCAAAAACTATACAAACTCAGGGAAAGCACAGTATTCAGATAGCATTCTCATGAACTATGAAATACTGTTCTTACTCATATATCTCTCCTGCACCACTCTCACTTCACATTTCCCTGAAATTTGACATATTTGGGCCACATGAAAATTTCCAAAAGTAGCTGGAAAATTTCTTCATATGAATGTATCGATGTTTTTATTTTCTTTTCTAACAGATAAGGGCATTTTTTAAACAACCTCAAATCAGTTATCACATCTAACAATGCTAATAATTTTGTAATATCAAATACTCAGTAAGTATTGAATCTTCTCCAATTATCTCTTTTAAATGTCTTTTTAGAGATAATTTGTTAATCGGGTGCTAAACAAGATACACGTTGCAGTTTGTTATGTGTTTAAAGTTTCTATCTTTGGGGCGCCTGGGTGGCTCAGTTGGTTAAGTGACTGCCTTCGGCTCAGGTCATGATCCTGGAGTCCCTGGATGGAGTCCCGCATCGGGCTCCCTGCTCAGCAGGGAGTCTGTTTCTCCCTCTGGCCCTTCCCCCTCTCATGCTCTCTCTATCTCATTCTCTCTCTCAAATAAATAATAATAAAAAAATCTTTAAAGTTTCTATCTTTTTGTATTTAAAATATTTGATAAGGGGCGCCTGGGTGGCTCAGTCAGTTAAGCATCTGCCTTTGGCTCAGATCATGATCCCAGGGTCCTGGATTCAAGCCCCAGAACGGGCTCCCTGCTCAGCCGAGGAGCCTGCTTCTCCCCCTGCTTGTGCATGCTCTCTCTCTGTCAAATAAATAAATAAAATCTTTTTTTTTTTTTTTAGATTTTATTTATTTATTTGAGAGAGCGAGAGCACATGAGGGGGGGAGGGTCAGAGGGAGAAGCAGACTCCCTGCCGAGCAGGGAGCCCGATGCGGGACTCGATCCCGGGACTCCAGGATCATGACCTGAGCCGGAGGCAGTCGCTTAACCAACTGAGCCACCCAGGCGCCCCAAATAAATAAAATCTTTTTAAAAATAAAATAAAATACTTAATAAAAAGTCAGTTATCAACCCAGAAAAGACATGGAGGAAATTTAAATGCATATTGCTTAGTGAAAGAAACCAGTCTGAAAAGGCACATACTCTATTACTTCCAACTACATGACATTCTGGAAAAGGCAAAAGTGATTAAGATAAATTAAGAAGATTAGTAGTTGCCAGATGGAAGGAGGAGGTGAATTAAGAGGTAAAACACAGGAGATCTGGGAGGTATTAAAACTTTTCTTTATGATATTGTAATGGTGGATACATGACACAATGAGCTTGTCAAAACCATAAAACAACACAAAGAATGAACCCTAATATAAACTACAGACTCTAGTTAATAATGGATCAATATTGGTTCATTAATTATAATAAATGTACCACATTAATGCAAGATGTTAATACTAGGGAACACTATGAGTGAGAGAAAGTGGGTATATGGGAAATCTTCATACTATCTGCTCAATTTTCTATAAAACCTAAAACTGCTCTTAAAAATTAAGTCAATTAATATTTGGGGGCACCTGGGTGGCTCTGATGGTTAAGTGTCTGACTCTTGATTTAGGGTCAGGTCATGATCTCAGGGTTGTGAGACTGAAACTCATATCAGGCTCCATGCTGGATATGGAGCCTGCTTAAGTTTCTCTCTCTCTCCCACTCCCTTTGCCCCTCTCCCCTACTTTCATGCTCTCTCTCACTCTGAAAAAAATTAAATATTTGTATTGAGAAATATTTCAAATATATAGAAAAGTTAAAAGAATTATACAAACATAATTCTACCCTCCACCCAAATTTAAAGCTTATTTTTTACAGTACTTGTTCTATTTTTTAATTCTACATACAAATACCCCCTTTTTTTGCTGACCTATTTGAAAGTGACTTGAAGACATCAGAACACTTCACCTCTAAATATTTCAACAGGCATCTCCTAAGTATAAGGACATTGTCCTATAATCATCATCCTACTAGCACACTTAACAAAATTAACAATGATTCCATAATATTATCCAAAATCCAGTCCCTACTAAATCTCATTATTTTTCCATTATTATTCCTCAATTTTCTTAAATTTTGATAAGAATTCATATGCACTCCTGAGTTCCTTTTACAAATGCACTTTTTAACCACTTGTTATGTCTTAGGAAATTTGTTTTTTAACCAAGTTTCATGATTGTATTGTGTTGAATCTATTTAGTCTAGAACAGTCCCCTTTTATGATATTGAATTCTTTAAAGTATCCAGACCTGTTGTCTTGTAGGATGTTATACATTCTGAATTTGTCTGACTGTTTCCTTGTGGTGTCATTTAACCTGTTCCTCTAACCCCTGTATTTCCAGAAAACCAGAAATGGATGATTTATTAAATATAATAATGGCATAACACTTTTTAAAGCTCTCATTTATTTTCTGTAATTGGGTAAAAAAATAATGGGCAATCACAGATTCCTTTTCTTTTCTTTTTAAAGATTTTATTTATTTATTTGTCAGAGAGAGAGACAGAACACAAGCAGGGGGAGAGGCAGGCAGAGGGAGAAGCAGGCTCCCTGTGGAGCAAGGAGCCCGATGTGGGACTCGATCCCAGGACCCTGGGATCATGACCTGAGCCGAAGGCAGCCGCTTAACCAACTGATCCACCCAGGCGTCCCACAGATTCCTTTTCTTAACATTTAGAAAATAAATGCCTACTTGTATTTTGATATTATTTTTCTCTTTTCATGATGTTTATATTACTATTATAATAATCCAAAATTTTTAAATTCATTTCACAGGGAATATTCTGGCACTTATCTTAAGGTGGAAATTGTGGGCCTGTGGTAACACTCAAACAATTTGCTTTTGACTCTATTAAGGATACAAACAACTAAGTTTTTCCATGTATTTCATAAAGCTCAAGCAAGCAGGATTTCAAAATAAAGGTGACTTGAGCAGGGGAAATGAAGATGCTATTTGCTTTCCCCAGAACTAATATGCAACTAATGGTTTGGAAAGAGACACTTGCGTAAGAATCTTGGCATTTTTTGTTTCATGAGAATCATCATAGTCTATTAGTACAAACTGTTCCCTTGAAAAAAATCTTGCCCACACATTGCCATGGGTTCTAGCCTGCCTTGAGTATATATTGGATTCTCTCTCTCTCCTACAGATACATATACATACATACATACATATATATGTATATGTTTTAGATGTTTTCATATATTGTGTATGATTTTTCCCAAGAATCTCAGACATCTTCTCTCCCATTATTAAAATAGGCTAGGGCGCCTGGGTGGCTCAGTTGGTTAAGCGACTGCCTTCGGCTCAGGTCATGATCCTGGAGTCCCGGGATCGAGTCCTGCATCGGGCTCCCTGCTTGGCGGGGAGTCTGCTTCTCCCTCTCCCACTCCCCATTTGTGTTCCCTCTCTCGCTGTGTCTTTCTCTGACAAATAAATAAATAAAATCTTTAAAATAAATAAATAAATAAATAAATAAATAAATAAATAAATAAAATAGGCTAAAACTTGTATCAGGTTTTGGTAGTCTTGTAGATGATTGAATTTGTACTAAGAGCACAATTAAAATTTCATTTTATTTGTTTTTTTAATTTCATTTTATTTTAATTCCAGTATAGTTAACATACAGTGTTATATCAGTTTCAGGTGTACAATATAGTGATTCAACACTTCCATATACCACTCAGTGCTCATCAGGACAAATGCTGTCCTTATTCTCCATCACCTATTTCACCCATACCTCCCCTCTGGTAACCATCATTTTGTTCTCTATAGTTAAGAGTCTCTTTCTTGGTTTGTCTCTTTCTCTCTTTTTAAAATTACTTTATTTTTTAATTGACGTATTTATGACATATGATATTATATTAGTTTCAGGGATACAACATAGTGACTCAACATTTATACACATTACAAAATAGTCACCATGATAAGTGTACTTACCATCTGTCATCATACAAAGTTATTATAGTATTACTGACTATATGTTCCCTATGCTGTACTTTACATCCCCATGACTTATTTATTTTATAACTGGAAGTTTGTACTTCTTAATTCCCTTCATCTGTTTCACTCATCCCCTCACCCTGAAATTTCTTTTTAAAAAGAAAATGTGCCTAAGTGTTTTTTAACTACTAAAAACAATACAGAAAACAAATAATGAAGAAATCTACAGATGTAGGGAGGGCAAAGAATATGTTAGGGGGAAAGAAACCTGAGAAAATAACTGACAACCAACAACTTTTCTGGTGAAGACCAGTGCAGACCTGGATCTGGCCAATAGTAGTGATCATCCAATATTGTTATTGTTAAATTAACATGGAAATTGGGATTCAAGGTATACTTATGAATACTACTGTTTTTTGGGGTTTTTTTAAAAGATTTTATTTATTTGACAGAGAGAGAGACAGCGAGAGAGGGAACACAAGCAGGGGGAGTGGCAGAGGGAGAAGCAGGCTTCCCGCGGAGCAGGGAGCCCGACGTGGGGCTCAATCCTAGGACCCTGGGATCATGACCTGAGCCGAAGGCAGAGGCTTAACGACTGAGCCACCCAGGCGCCCCGAATACCACTCTTTATATCCAA